TCTTCTGGCGCATTCTGGTTGTTTCACGATCAAAGCGTGGTTCAAATTGATTATTTGTTGTCGGTAGCAATCAGTATTATCGGTTTCGCCTGGTTTTAGAAGCTCATAATACACCACACCTTCCTGATCCCACCAAACCCAGAGCATTGTCTTCTTTCCAAAGCGATTTGGCCTTGCTGTCGATGTTGATGGTTGACCTGGATCAACCCATGATTCTGTGCGTTTGGGATTCTCAAAATAAATCCACTTTTCATCGCCAGTCACAATTCAATGCAAAAAAGACTTTCTTTCATGCCATTGAAGCAACATTTTACTGATGACGTTTTGATTTCCTATTTGTCTTCCGTTCAGTTGATGAGGGACCCATTTTCCTTCCTTTAAAATCGTTCCCATTGCTTGTAAACAATCAGGAATTGTTTGCTGAGCAACGTTTAATCTTCCTGGAAGTTGTTTTTGAGTTTGACATGCATCTTCATCCAATAATGCTTGTAATTGTTGGCCTTCAAACTTTTTTGGTTGACCTGGACATTGTCTATCACATTGAAATCATCACTTTTAAAGCGTTTAAACCAGCGTTCACAAGTATCTTGAGATGGAGCATGTTCACCATAAGCTTCCCGAAGTATACAATAACTTTTACTTCAAAATAATGAATTAAAATTTCCTGCAAATGCTCTTTTTTGGCATGAAATTCGGCATTTTTAAGCTTAAAAATATCTATGATGTTAACACCTTCAGCAAATTTGACATATGAAGTTTTGAAGCTTGCTGTCAATACAACAAAATAGCGTACATATCAAATCGCACATATATCAACATATGTGTAACTCCATCTATTGAAAAAAAATCTGCATATTAACTGGTACACCTAATACATACATAGTGGATTTTTGCCATGTTCCTTTTTCATTTTGATTTATATTATTAATTCTGTCAGTGTATTACATACACTGTCCCAGTTAATAGAAACCTGTAGACAGTTCAAATAATCACTACCATCAAATTATTCTTACCCTATTGTGACCTTTGTCAGAGTGTATGAGGTCCTAAATGCTTTAACTTGGTGACAATTAAGGCTTAGAAAAGTGGGGCTTAAATAACTAGGAATTGTTAAAAAACAAAGAGGGATGGTTTTCTGGGTTGTCCATTGTGTTTGGTTCTCAATCCCCAAATTTACTACTAACAGTCATATTTTGGTGATTTAGACATAGTGGTAGTGATGGTTTTTAGCTATCATTTTGAGCTAACTGGCCTTCAGGTTGGAAGAATCATTAAAGACAATAAAATCCCTGATTATATTTACTAGAATTGCTCAATGAAGGATCTCCATTTAAATGGAAGCTGCCATGGGGAATATCTGAGCGTTCACTTTGTGATTCAGGACTCGTATTTAAAACCTGCTCATTTTTCCTGGACTAGTTTATTTACCACTGTATCCTCGGTGCCTGGAATAGTGCCTGCTAAGGCTTGAAAAATGTAGTAAAGAAGTGCTCTTTCTCCTCTGTCCATGTTGTGCCTCTTGATATATTTATTGGTGGACCCACAGACCCTCTATTAGATGTTAATTTCATTTCATTTAGAGGATGATTTTCTACTTCTTTAAAGTGTCCCTTCCGATTGAATTTTGTATATATCAGTACTCTGGATTTTAAATAAGATTGTCTCAGATATATTTCCTAAATACAATAAAAATTCTACTTAGCTATTTTTATACATGATAAGACAAACTTTTTATAAATTGGGAGATTTGAAGAATAATTCTTTAAGAAAGCTTGATTTTTCTTTTACCTACACTTACTCTAATTGAACTGATCACAATACATTGATTTTATAGTGTTATAAGTATAAAGAAGGGGCTCTGAAATACTAAGTAATATCTAAAAACTAGATTAGAGAATTAGATTACTGTGTGAGCACATAAAATCTAGGGTAGTTCATTCAGTTTTTATTTTATTTTCCTTTTTTTGTAAACATGCTTCTAAAGAACACAAAATAAAAATATTAACTTATTTCTTGATTATATGTATTAGTTAAGGGCATTAGATTACTAGTTTATTTACATTGTAAATATCAGCTATTCTAAGATTATTGGTGACTAATATTTAATCTTGTAAGTTACTTCAGGTTGGTTTGGTATCTTTTGACACTTTATGAAATCATCTGTCATACCTTTTTCAGATTATAGCTTTTTTTGTAAATTAGAATCTTTTTTTAAAAAATTAAATTTATTGCAGTGACATTGGTCAATATGAACATACAGGTTTAAGGTGTGGGTTTCTGTGTTACAAGGTCTGTATATAGCACCATGTGCCTACCACCCAAAGTCAAATCTCTTGTCACCGTCCCCCTTCATCCCCCAACCCCTTCCCTCTGACAACCACCACAGTGCTGTTTGTGTTCACGAGTTTCAGTTTTATATCCCACATATGAGTGAAATCATATAGTTCTTAGCTTTTCCTGACTGACTCATTTCCCTTAGCATAATGTTCTCAAGGTCCATCTACATTGTTGCAAGTGGCACTATTTCATCCTTTCTTATGGCTGAGTAGTAGTATTCCATCTTATATATGTACCACATCTTTATTTTACTTTAAGGGAAAATTAAAATTATAGTCTTCTAGAGAAGTTATATGTTTTGTTTTTTTAAAATATATTTTTATTAATTTTAGAGAGTCAGGGAGAGGAAGAGAGAGAAACATCAATGATAAGAGAATCATTGATCGGCTGCTTTCTGCACACCCTCTACAGATGATTGAGCTTGCATCCTGGGCATGTGCCCTGACTGACCAGGAATCGAACCACGACCTAGAGGTTGATGCTTAACCACTGGGCAACACTGGCCAGGCAGAGAAGTTATATGTTAATATTTGAAATTTAATAAAATTAGTATCAAAATCTGGTGGGTGATTGGTAGAGACTGGGTAAATTTAAAAATAGTGCTTCCCTAGCCAGTTTGTCTCAGTGGATAGAGCATCGGCCTGTGGGCTGAAGGGTCCTGGATTAAATTCTGGCCAAGGGCATGTGCCTGGGTTGCAAGTTTGATCCTCCCGGCCCTGGGGGTGCATGCAGAAGGCAACCAATCAACGTGTATCTCACATCAATATTTCTCTCTTTTTCTCCCCCTCCTTTCTGTTCTCTCTAAAAATCAATGGGAAAATATCCTTGAGTGAGGATTAACAAAAAAACTAATAAATAAATAAAAATAGTGCTGAAAACTATCCTATATAACAAAAGGCTAATATGCAAATAGACCACACAGTGGAATGACTGATCACTATGATGCACACTAACCACCAGGGGGCAGATGCTTAACGCAGGAGCTGGTGGTCAGTGTGCTCCCACAGGGAGAGAGCCACTCAGCCAGAAGCCAGGCTCACAACTGGCAAGCCTGCCCTGCCTCTGCAGCAGTGCTAAGGATGTCCAACTGACAGCTTAGGCCCACTCCCCTAAGCCGTCAGTTAGACATTCCCCAAGGGCTCCTGGACTGCTAGAGGGCGCAGGCCAGGCTGAGGACACACCCCCCTCTACACCCCTCCAGTGCACGAATTTCATGCACCGGGCCTCTAGTTAAAGATAATTTAAAATGCATAAAATACTATATATTTTTGGCATTGATTTTCATAGTAGGTTGAAAATATCACCTACTATTCATATTAGCATCATAATAAACCTCATCTTTGAAAGTGTGTTGTTATTGCAAGTAATAATTTAGAAGTAATTTAAATTCTAAATGAAAGAAATAATTTTTTTTCTCTTTTTCCTTAGGTGGAATGAATCTTACTTGCTGACTATCTCCTGGTTACTGGTTGAATTCACTTATAAAAGAATCATCTTCCCCTGCGTGGAAGTCACTTAGTGGAATATTTAATTACAAATCCAGGGATTGCAAAGCCTTTTGATTTCCCAAAGGAAGGGGACATACCACTATATCAAATAAGCTTGACATTACAGCCAAAATGGTGCTGTCCCAAAGACAACGAGATGAACTGTAAGTTTCTCTGTTGTATGTGTGTGTGTGTTAAAATATTCTCTCATAAAGGACAAGGTAGTAAATTAAAATACAGCTTTAGGAGATCTGTTTTCATATTAAAACTGTTAGGAGTGTTTAAATATTGATGTGGGCATTTGGGTGTGATTTTAAAACTGGGTCTTACTTTGATATAGCACTGTTTACTCTTGTGACCTTATTGTGTATAAATTTAAAGCAAATCAAGTTAGTTGGGATTTTTATCTCAAGTTTGTCTTAATATATAATTATGTTCATTTGGAAGATAGGTGCTTCAAAACACTTATAAATTATTTTGTCTAGATACATGTATTAGAATAGAAAAATGAAAGCTTTTTTGTTGTTGTTACTGCTAATGCCTTTCCTTTGCCTTATGTATATTTTATCATCCTTTGGCTCTTATAGGATTTGAACTTTATAAGGTGGCTAATGTAATAGTTAATGCAAATGCATTAACTAGATAGGCATGAAAATGATTTGATCATTGCTATATAGGATTTTATGGCATTCTATTTTTTGTAGGTGAAGAATATAGTGGAAAATATTTAGTTTTGTGTTCTAGGCTTTTAAAATTTTCTGTGGCTTTTTAAACTGTATAATTGGGAATAATTTCAAATTTATAGATTAGTAAGATTAGTACAAAGAATATTTATATACATTTTATCCAAATTCACCTGTTGGTAACATGTATCATTTTGCACTCTGTAGCTGTGTGTGTGTGTGTGTTATGTGGGGGGGGTTGTGTAGACAGAGTAAATTGCATACATCAAGGACCTTTCTCTGAGATACTTTAGTACACAGTTCCTAAGAATAAGGAAATTCTTATATAAAACCAAGTACAGATAGCAATTTCGGTAAATTTAAAACATTGAAACAATACTTTAATTTAACCTACCTTCCATACTCGAATTTTGTCACTTGACCCAATAAAGTCCTTTATGGCAATATTTTAATCTTCTCTAGTACACCATCCAGTCCAGGATTAGGTATTGTGGTCAGTTGTCCTAAGTGTCATTTAATCTGAAACATTTCCTCAACCTTTCTTGCTTTGAAGACAATTAGATAAAAATATGTAGGGTTTTTTTTTTTAATAATCCTCACCCGAGGATATTTTTCCATTGATTTTTAGAGAGAATGGAAGAGAGGAGGAAAGAGAAATATCAATGTGAGAGAAACACATCAATTGGTTGCCTCCTGCAGGCACCCCAACCAGGGCCCAGCCAGGGAGGAGCCTGCAACCGAGGTACATGCCCTTGACTGGAATCGAACCTGGGACCATTGGGTCTGGAGGCTGATGCTCTGTCCACTGAGCCAAACTGGCTAGACCTCAACACTTTTATTCTTTCTACAGTTGATAGTCAGCACTAAGCATTTTACTGTATTCAAGAGATCTTTTTCTCCTTTTTGTTGACTTTTCATTATTTATATGAACTCATGGGTTCTTATATTTTCAATAGTTTCATCATTCACTACTATACTTACTCTTTTGGTGTGTGAATTGTTCTAGGTTGTCCTCTCGGATAGCGGTCGCCAACTGGTGGTCCGCAGACCACTGGTGGTCCGTGAAGTCCGAAAGATTGGCGACCGCTGGTTTAAGGGAAATCTTTGGAGCAGCGACCTGAAAGGTTGGCGACCGCTGCTCTAGGAGACTCTTCCGTTGGCTCTTAAATATGCCCCTATCATTTTTTATTGCACTTTCTTACTTTCTGGCATTATAAGATGTTCCAGGCTTGTTGTGTACCAATCCTGCCTTAAACCTAGAATCAACCATTTCTCCAACAAACCCTGGTTCCTCTTAGTGGGGAATGGTATTAGAGATCAAGATATGGGCATTGCCCTAGCCGGTTTAGCTCAGTGGATAGAGGGCCTGTGGACCAAAGGGTCCTGGCTTTGATTCCAGTCAAGGGCACATACCTTGGTTGCAGGCTCCTCCATGGCCCAGGCCCTGGATGGGATGCATGCAGGAGACCAATTGATGTGTTTCTGTCTGTCTTTCCCTCTCTTCCACTCTTTCTGAAAGATCAATGGAAAAAATCTTTGTATGCGCGTTAAAAAAATTTTTTTAATTGCATTTTCAGAATACTTTAAAAACAAAACAAAACCCAAAGATATGGGCATTAAGTGTACTTATTGCTACTGGGTTGTCTTTGTTTCTAGATCCTTTGAGTAAACAGAACTACGAAATACATGGATATATAAACATATGCACAGACATTTGGTGTATATATATGTTCTAAGATTTCTCAGTCTTGGCACTGTTGACAATTTAGGCTAAATAATTCTTTGCTGTGGGGCCTGTCATGTACACTGTTGGTTGTTTAGCAACATTCCTGGCCTCTACCCACTAGATGCTGCAATCAACAATGTCTCCAGACGTTGCCACTGTCCTCTGGGGGAGATGGGGGCAAAATTTCCTCCAGTTGAGAACTGGTGTATAGATACACACACACACACACACACACGCACACGCACACACACACGCACACACACACATATACATACATGCACACATATTTATTTTAGAAATCATTAGGCTACACTGATACTTCTAATTCCAGTCTATTTTCACAAGTTTCTTTCTTGTCTTTCCCTCTGTAGTACTTATTTTTCTCTTTTTATAGTGAGACCCTGACTCTCAACTCATTTGCTCAGTCCTATAATACTTCTAAAATAGTTGCAGAATTATTATGTTCATACCACTTAAAAAAATGAACAAACCCTGGAAAGGGTTCACAATTTGTACGGTTTTTCCCTCCATCTACCCTGCCCAGACAGATAGTATATAATCAATACAAGCAGGTCCTCCAATAAGGTCATTTTGTTCAGAAGCATCTCTTTTCATTATAGTGTTGATGAAATGTCATAGGAACTTGACTTTTGTTTTATATTCATTAGCCTATGGTAAAATTGGTTTCATTATCTGTCATTACATTGCAGTTCCAAAGAACCGATTGATTATGTGAAGTGAGGGCTTACTGTACTGTTATTGCAAATTACTTGGATTAGTTTTATTTTGTGTTTTCCCTCTTCATGTGGTTATATTATTCATTTAAAATACATTTGGGTTCATCTGTTCTAGTTTTTCAGTTTTCTGCATCCTTCCCTTCCCATCCTTGTTAACAATATAATATTTTGAATATGCATAAGATTATCCAAAAAGTTACACGCTGAAGTTTTATTCTCTTCAGAATCCCTTCTAAGTTACCCATCTTTACCTCTTACAGGAACCAACCTTATAAGAAAGATATGTGTATGTTTTCTGGTTCCTCCTTTCTTAATAAAAAGGTAGCATGCTATTTGTGTTCTTTTGTACTTTTACTTTTTTTCACTTAACATCTGTTGGAACTCACCCCATACCATTAATGTCCTCCTGTTTTTTCTTGTAATAGCTGTGTGTGTGTGTGTGTGTGTGTTTGATAAAATTGGTCAAGGAGGCAGTAGAAAACTTATGTGGATCATTAGCTATAGAGGAAATTGTAAGATAGTTACAGACTTGAAATCTAGACAGTTTTCAAACCTATACTCTAATTATGTTGAATCTTTAATTACTGGTAACTTTCCAGATTATATGGCCTCTTCCAGAATAGAAAGAGATGGAAAACTTAGGATCTCATTTTATGAAGCTAGAATAACCCTGATAGCAACACTAGGCAAGAGGAAAATAATAAAATATTATAATAAGCTAATTTTAATATGAACTCAGATATAAAGATATTGAATAATATAACAAATTGAAAAGAATCAACCGTTAGAATGATTGAATTTAGTGTGGTGACCAGAAACAAGATGGCATACAATAATGAATTATTTCTGTTATTGAATAATGTAGTAGAAAATATTATTTTGCCTTTTTATGGTGAAAAAAAGTGAATAATTGAAAGATTACATAAATCTCAAATTATTAATAAAATTAAATACAACCCCATTCAAAATTTAAACAGAATTTTCCATAAATTTGACCGACTTAATTCTAAAATGCATCTGGCAGAGGAAAATAGTTGAAAAATTTTTTAAAAGGATTAATAAGAAAGGAACTGCCAGGCTGGCATGGCTCAGTGGTTGAGCGTTGGCCTGTGAACCAGGAGATCACGTTTGATTCCTGGTCAGGGCACATGCCTGGGTTGTGGGCTCAATCCCCAGTGTGGGGCATGCAGGAGACAGCTGGTCAATGATTCTCTCTCATCATTGATGTTTCTCTCTCCCCCCCTCTCCCTTCCTCTCTGAAATCAATTAAAAAATATTTTTAAAAGAAAGGAAATGATTGTACCAGGTATTCAAACGTTACTGTAAAGTAATAAATAAAATACTGTGGGATAGGCAAATAAAGTTCACATCAACAGAGAAAAGGTGAGCTGTTTGGCAAAGTATTAGTATAACAGATTGTACTAAAAATAAACTTGAATCCAGATGAAACTTCTTTTAAAATTTTTATTGTTGAAAGTATTACATATGTCCTTCCCTTTCCCCCCATTAACCCTTTCTAGCCCATCTTCACCCCAGTCCCTCACCACCCCACTGTGTGTCCATGGGTTATGCATAAATGCATACAAGATCTTTGGTTGATTACCTTCCACCCACCCAGCCTCCCCGGCCTTCCCTCTAAGATTCCGCACTCTGTTCCATGCTCCCATGTCTCTGGGTCCACTTCGTTCATCAGTTTATTTTGTTAGTTAGATTCCACATATGAGTGAGATCATGTGATATTTGTCTTTCTCTGACTTATTTCACTTAGCATGATATTCTCCGGGTCCTTCCATGCTGCCTCAAAGGGTAAAAGATTCTTTTTTTTTTTTACTGCTACTTAGTATTCCATGGTATAAATGTACCACAGCTTTTTTATCCACTCATCTTCTGATGGACATTTGGCCTGTTTCCAGATCTTAGCTATTGTAAATTGTGCTGCTATGAGCATAGGTATGCATACATTATTTCTGATTGGTATTTTGGGTTTCTTAGGATATATTCCTGTAGTGGGATCACTG